ACGTATACGATCAATGGATCAGAGATACAACGATTGAGCTTTCGAGGACGCGATGGCTCGTAGGATTGCTGGTTCGAGGAATCGAAGGATCAAGGGATAAATTAATGGTTATAGAGATCAAGGTAATGAGGTGCCAATCGAGCCATTGAAGGATCGCTTAGTCGACAGATCAAGGCTCTAAAGAATCGAGGAATTGAAGCATTTTTGAATCAAGAGAACTAGAGCCAGAATTTTCATGTGATCTCGGGACTGGCAGATATTGGCGATGCCGGATCGGGGGCTCGGGCACTCGAGCGGATGGAATTAGGCCTGGTTCGCATCCCAAGAATATTAATCTCGGCGCTTCTTCATCCTAAGATTCATTATTGCGTAAGTCCTAAAGAACCGAACTCATCAGCAGGCTCAGCGCGTGAATTCTCCAGTCCGGTCTCGTTAGGATGGCCAGTTGGAATGCATAACAAAGAAAGCCTTTTATTCATCTACTCATGAGTAGAGTCGCATTCGGTACACTTTGCTAACAAACGGTTCTACACTAAAACCACACCATACAGAGTCTGCAATCACAAATCTTGGTACCAGTTTCGTCATACACCATCTGAAGTTGCTCTTAGTAAGCAGGACTTTAGTTTGTGGGCTCCTTTAGCTGGGATTCGCCTCTCTCAGAGACTGGCTTGAGGTTCGTTGAAGGTGGAACGGACTCTTGAAGGGCACCTTCACCTACGGCCCGGACCGAAGCTGGTCCCGGTTGCCATCATTGCCATATCAGTTTAGTCTTATCTTTAAAATTCACACCATCCCAGCCCAGGTTAGACAGGAGGCCTTGGCCTGTCGTCAAATACCACTCGAATACTACACTTTCTAGCCCCCGAGTGACTCATCCCAACTGGAACTATTTCCCCCAATCTGTACTTTTCCTCTCGCACTGGCCCCTCACCTCCGAGCCATGAATTGGGACAACGCTGAACGTCGTTTGCATACCCAAATCCCACGCTCGCCTCTCACCCTGACTCAGACAATGCAACTCTCGACCAATCACATTCTCGCCAGCCCACATTCGGAACCGCCAGACTCAGTGACCTTTCACGAGCTGAGTTTACCTCCCACAAAGTGGTGAGCAGAAAGACCTCCCAATTGGATCCATTTCTTCACGAGAGAATTAAGATATGGACATATCAAGAGATACACATGTCTGGACATTGTTGGATTGAGGGACTGAAGAATGAAGCATTCGAAAGATAGAGAAATTAAGATGTTGAGGGAGGGGTGAAGGGATCACAATTTTCCATTTTTCCTCTCAAGCTCGCCTCAAACCTGCTTGCCATGATTAGTCACTAAAGGTACTTTAGTGACTCAGCCCATCTTTTATCAACTCGAACCTCATTCATATCTGAATTGGCGTGTGACTTCTCAGCCGTGCCTACTCCTCACATTAAAACGTATGATTTTAACCCAATCGAACGCTTTTTCATCCCTTTTCTGCACACAAATCTGTCGTGGCCACGCCTCATCCTGACTCAGGCCTTCCAACTCTCGACCAATCACATTCTCGCCAGCCTACCTTTGGAACTGCCTGACTCCGAGACCAATCAGAAGCTGAGCTTATCACCCACAAATTGGTGAGCAGAATGGCAGAAAGAATTGAGATATGAAAAATCAAGAGATAGATATGTCTGGAATTGTTGGATTAAGGTACTGAAGAATAAAGCATTCGAAAGATAGAGAAATTAAGATGTTGAGGGAGGGATGAAGGGATCACAATTTTCCATTTTTCCTTTCAAGCTCGCCTCAAACCTGCTTGCCATGATTATTCATTACACTTACTCAAGACTAAAGGTACTTTAGTGACTCAGCCTAGGTCTTATCAACTGGAGCCTTATTCATATCTGAATTTGTATGTGACTTCTCAGCCGTGCCTACTCCTCACATTAAAACGTATGATTTTAACCCAACCGAACGCTTTTTCATTCCTTTTCTGCACACAAATCAGTAAGGGCTACGCCTCATCCTGACTCAGGCATTCCAACTCTCGACCAATCACATTCTCGTCGGCCTACCTTTGGTTAGCGTGTCAAGCTACCCTCCTGCATTATCGCGGTTCGAGTCCCGCTGAGGGTGTTGATAAGACCAGTTGATGCGAGGCGGAAACTGCAGTCCACTGGTGCCTGGATGAGAACAACCTTTTGGGAATGCAAAGCTATGCAAATATTCAATGGAAACGTCCGTCCAACTCATATCATTTGTGGGAAAATTCTACTTCTACCAGTCCTTCATTACCTTAAACCAAATTGGGTAAATACATCTCATACTACTGATTTACTGGTAGTCACGAAAAACAATACTTAATTCGAAAAATACCTTTGGAACTGTCTGACTCCGAGACCAATCAGAAGGCGAGATCTACTTTCTACAAAGTGTTGAGCAGAAAGACCCTCGCGACCTTGACGATTTGTGCAAACTATCTGCTCTCATGCTCTTTCGCCGCCTCATATCACTTGGCTTCGACACATCTCATCTAAATTCGGTCTGCTAATCTTTGCTCTTCTTGACAAGCGGCAGTTG